TTTTGGGATCACTGCTTATGTTAACATTTTGACACAATCATGTTCTTGCTATACAGATAGTCCTCGACTTACAACAATTCATTTAGTAACCATTCAAAGTTACAATGACACTGAAAAAAGTGACTTATGACCGTTTTTCACACTTACATCTGTCACAGCACCCCCATGGTCAGTTCAGATACTTGGCAACTGACTCATATTTATGATAGTTGCAGTATCCCAGAGTGATGTGATCACCTTTTGTAACCTTCTGACACGCAAAATAAATGGGGAAGCCAGATTCACTTAACAATCGTGTTACTAAACAACTGCACGGACAACTGTAGCAAGACAGGTCACAAAATGGGGTAAAACTCACTTATCAAATGTCTCACTTAGCGACATAAATTTTGGGTTTAATTATGGTCCTACGTCAAGGACTACCTGTAGATATTTATGTTCTGTGTGATTTCAGATGCAGCACAATGGATTTGGAAAAGGATCAGCTCAATTGCAAAACACAAGACAACAGCTAATTGTAATTCCAAAGGAAAGCATACAAAATTGTGGCATTTCTATTGCTATTGCAGAAGTAAAGTCAATGGTTAATCAGCATAACAATATGGTGCTGGAAAAGGTAGACTAAAACAGGCAGAACTCTGGAAAAGACCAAGGCAGAAGAAGACAAAGAAATATAACAGGATAGGAAATAATCTTAACAGAAGTGAAAAAATAGTTACATAATTCCAGCCACTTTCTAGCAAGAAATTATTTCTAAATAAATACCTTCTCAGAAGGAAAAAAAAGAAATACTTTTCTAATAGTGAAGTTTCTTTATTGGACCTTGAGAAGGCCTAGATCTCACATAGTCTAATACTCTTTAGACAACTCATCAGACAGCATTTAGATAGGCTATCAGAAATACGATTCCAATGACAAAAGGTATGCAGAGGAAGTCATTTCCACACTCCCTCTTCCCAGAAGAACTGGGTGTCTTCTGACAGATGCCTGTAAGCCAAAGATGGCCTGGAAATCCTGAAATATTTTTGAATGGCATCTCTATCTATAAGCATTGCTATGAGTGGAAGATAGAGAATCTGTCTAGTTATTAAGCTTGATCAGATGAAGAGTATAATCTGGTGGGCAGTATAATGTAATGGATGAAATAAAAACATTCCTAAAATACCTATTTTAATGGAAATACTTATTTGTTTGCTGGTAAGGGCCAAATTAGATAATATTTTTTTATTTTATTTAAGAGCATATATGGTTGCCCCTCTCAAGTACATTACACAGGGTGGCTAATAATAAAAACAATAAAAGCAGTAAACAGAAATATAGAGAACCTAAACAGCAGCTGAGAAACTGCTTAAATACAATAATCAGCAAGGGTTAATAATTTTATTGTCAGTACCACAAGCCTAGGGAAAATCTTCCTCCAGATTTGCTATTTGTTATGAAAGACAAAACTACCCAGAGTAGTTTTCTTCTATGGGGAAAGCAGAAATTGCTTGGCTATTTTTCATCAGAACTGCAGTACAGAAAGCAACAGTTAAGTCCCCCACTCTTCAAGACACCCGACTCCTAAACCCAAACGGAGCAAGATGATAGTCATGGCTGTTATTGAAACAAAGCAGGCAATAATAAATAAATACTTGGTTGGTTTCTTGCAGACATTTCATTACCCAGCTAGGTAACATCATCAGCACTGATGATATTACCTAGTTGGGTAATGAAGCATCTCCAAACAAACAACCAAACTTAGAGAGCACCAAAGACTCCATAGTTCAACCCTGAGCTACAAATATTCTATTAGAAATAAACACTTCTTCACAGCACATTAATTTCACCCATGCTGTTTGTGCTTATTGTGTAGGAATAGGAAAGTAATACTTTTACCTGGATCTAAGGCTAATGGCAATTCTTTCCATGGCTAGAGCAGCCACAGTGGGTCCCCTATTAGCAGATGACAAGGCAGTACCTTATCTATCTTTCTTCTCATTCTGAAGTGATATGGTGTTTGCATGCACAGACAGAGAGTGAGAGAAAGAGAAAGAGAGAGAGCAACCTATGTCACATACTGCATCAATGTGAAGCACAGCATTACTATTTTTGAAACAGAAAGAAAATCTCCATTCTTGGAGCTATCAGATTTTGCAAGAAAGGATCTTGACATGTACAAGACTGTTCATGACCCAATTCTGATCCACCCAAATTCCGACCCTTGCTTGGAGGGACCCTACATAAGGGGGGAGGGAGAGAGACACCTTTTATATAGAAAAGTAAGAGTTTCATTTTCAAGATGCTGCTTTTTTAAGTTGCTGAAATGCCACCTTGTCTAGAATGCTGAGAAGGGAGAACACGGGATATCACGTGGCAGAAAGACAATATTGTTCAAGAAGAATCGATGCATCCATTACCTCTAGGAGGCAGTGTAGTTGTAGGCTTCTTAAAACACAGGTCCATAGCCCATTTACCTCTGCCTAAATCTGGTCAGCCAGAAAACAAACTACAAGAGCATGAAAAACGGTTCATGTTCAGGATATTCCAGCAAAAATAATGCATGAGGGTTTTATGGTTGACCCTTACAACGATGGATGACAATGGGCCCCAATTGACTGATTTTTAAGTTATTCCCTTCAAATATTTGTCTCTTCCACCTCTACTTTTCCCCTTAAATCTTTATTTTGCAAAATTTCTTCCTGACTTCCATGGACTGCCACGTGATTCCATTTTCTATCAGTTGAATGTTTTCCTTCTGCCAACCTCATTAATTTGTAAATCAATTGTTATTTAAGTCTTATTTGCATCTTGATATTATTTTCTTGGTATTTCCTCACATGATTATCTTTTGAAGCTAAAAGGAAAAAGGAAAAACAAGCTACATGTGAAAAGGGATTGCATTTGATGAGCCATTGGTGATGACACAAATGCTCTGCTTATGTTACTTCTTCAGTGCTTAGAGATATCTTACAAATGAGAGACTTATTTTTAGATACGCGGGGGGGAGGTTTATTTCTCCATTCTTTGATCTTGCAGCTATTATTCATATGAAAGCATCTTGCTTTTTAGTTTGTATACCTTAAGAATACAAATCTGCAAATTTTAGGGTAGGTGGACTCATTTAGAATTTTGAAAATATGTTGTGGAGGACACACTCATAAATTGGGGTTTAACTGTTGCCAATTCACAGAACTGGCCATCAAGGACAATAAAACTGGCTCTGTCAACCGGCCTGGGGATCTGGTACACAGCCCTGAGGGTGGCTGGTGGTTTGAGGGCATTCTGTTTTTTAAATTTTGTTACTCTTTTGTAAGGATTTTCTGGTTGTTGTGGTTTTTTATTTGTAAATCACTCAAGAGTCACTTCGACAATAAGATGGGTACTTTATACATTTGATTGATAAATAAATAAATAAAACAAGGCCAGTCACAACACTTGTTTGCAATGCCTCATTCTACCTACACTGCAAGATGGCTTCCTCTAATTCAGGAATAAACCAGCAGGAATTCTGGGAGTTGAAGTCCACAGGTTGTAAAGAGGCTATTATCTTTCAACTGGCCTTTCATATTTTGCTGAGGAAATGGGCACCTTTCCAAACCGTGGGATTTTGCCACCCAAAACCCATAATTAATCTGTCAATAGGGTTTAGGAATGGCCTGGACAGGGGGCGGGGAGGAATTATGGAGGAAGCTATTATGCAAGCAAAATTCCCTATTATGCAAGCAAAATTCCCCCCAAAATTAGAATGATGTTTTAACCCAGTGAAGCTGGACGTCCAGACCCTTGTAAATGTATGCTATGCCTATCGCAACACCTCCCTTGCCTCAGGGCAAGGCTTGCCGTTTCTGAATTCAACCATCACAAAAGGAGCCATGTAGTTTTGATTGTGGAAAGGGCAAGTCACACATGGCAAGACAACACCTGCAAACCTATTCAGGAAAAACATCATAACAGACTCTGAAACGATTTGGGCGGGTGCTAAAATGTACAGTGTGTCATGAGCAAATGGTTGGTGGTTTTTGTAATTACCCTGGATTCCAGATGCAGATTCATTTAGTAACCGTTCTAAGTTACAACAGCACTGAAGAAAATGACTTATGACCGTTTTGCACACTTACAACCATTGCAGCATCCTCAGGGTTCACGTGATCAAAATTTGTTTGCTTGGCAACTGGCATGTATTTATGGGGTTTACAGTGTCCCCGGGATGATATGATCCCCTATCGCAACCTTCTGACCAGCAAAATCAACGGGGAAGCCAGAGTCACTTAGCAACCATGTTACTAACTTAACAACTGCAGTGATTCACTTGTCATCTGTGGCAAGAAAGGTCGTAAAATGGGGCAAAGCTCAATGAACAACTGTCTCTTATGTGCTTACCCATGTAAATTTTGGGCTCAATGGTTATTGTAAGTCAAGGACCATCTCCAGGCATAATCAATGCAGAGGCAATTTGTAGTTCAGCAACCTCCAGACGATCCCAAGACCCCTCACCTTTATTGGGCTCTTTACATCTAAATTCTCTAAAATGGAGCATTAGTCATAAAAGTTCAGTAGAACAGGTTTATCTCCAGGCAATGGAAGAGTCATCCACTGGGAATGTTCCCATCAGCAAGATGACCTAGCTTTCCTTGGCATCTCCACAAAAATGTGAGTAATATCTCTGCCCATGTCTCGGCACCCACTTACCATTTGCCTCTCCAGCAGGCATCTGTTGTGGACTCACCCAAACTATCTTTACTCAAAGTTTGAAAATATATATATATATGACTGTTGCAGAGCTATTAGCTGCCTGCTCACTTCCACTTCATCTCCTGCATAAGTAATACATTGGGAGAGCCGTTGCCATTTGTCAGCCAGCAGTCAGCGAACACATTTGCTCGTCAATCTAATTTTAACCTTTTCTCGCATGAGCCTTTGCAAAACAACCAGCCATTCTGTCGTTCCCTCCTCTTTCTTCTTTATGTAGTCTTATTTTTTTATTTTATTAATCTTTAATTTAATATGCTTCATTACATGCAGTCCTGCTAAGCCAAAGAACTAAAACATTCAATGGAAATTCTCCTTCACCCACTGCAAACTAACATCCCCCCAAAGATTTAGGAATTGGCTTCTTTCTTCACTAAGGATAAATAATATGCCTAGCAAACACCGTTTGATGATGGATGGAGCTAATATCTCCTGGCACCTTCCTGCATACCTGCCTGAAAAGTAAGTACTATTATAAATGCACCAAACTTATGGCACAAGTGGCTAAATGCATATTGTTCTTGATAGTAGTGGGGTTTTTTTCCTGCAAGGTCAGTAGGGATGAATCTAGCAATGTATTTATTAATAATCCCATTTTGGTTTATTTTAGTCCGTAGGAGATTCCTGGCATAAGTATGGAAGACGGTCCAGTCTACCAATGGAATCAAAATCGACACAGATAGATTTATCCTTGATATTACTGCCCTTTGCCAGAGAATATGACATCCTGTGACATGGTGCTTCTATGAATGAGTTCTTTCAAGAATTCTAGCTGTAATTTGAGGCTTAATGCCATGAATTCCATAGGCTGCTGGGGAGTGATGATAATTTGCCAGTAATTGGAGTCTTTAATCCCCAATTGTGGATCGTAAGTCCTCGACTTACGACCCACAATTGGCACCAGAATTTCTATTGCTAAGCAAAGCGGTTGTTAAGTGAGTTGTGCCTGATTTTACAACCTCTTTTTGCTATGGTTGTTAAGCAACTCACTGCAGTTGTTAAGTGAATCATATAGTCATTAAGCGAATCCAGCTTTCCCCTTTGACTTTGCTTATTGGAAAATCAAATTGGGAACGTCATAGTGGCAATCATATGAACCTGGGATATTGCAATCATTGTAAATACATGCTGGTTACCAAGCCCCCAAATTTTGATCATGCAACAGTCATAAATGAAAGGACCAATTGTGTTACTTTTTTCAGTGCTGTTGTAACTTCAAATGGTCATTAAATGAATGGTTGTAAGTCAAGGATTACCCAATCAGTTTAAGTTTGATTGTCAAAATTTATTTATTTATTTATTTATTTATTTATTTATTCAATTTGTATGCCGCTCCTCTCTGAAGACTCTGAAGACTCCGAAATAATGTTGTTTTCATTAAAAAAAAGATAAGTGGCTTTTGGATATAATTTTTAAAAAAGATGTGCCCAATTCTAATTGGCATTGCTGGACATTAAGCACCTGTGTCAGCCAATGATTCAGTTCTGTCTCATTCGATTGTTATTCAAATCCATTTGGGAATTTTGGAACAATTCTACATTCTATTAAGCACTTTTCATGTATTATTTACATTTTCACATGTATTATTTACAAGTTGCTTTAAAACAGTACTGGGATTATCAACAAGGTCAGTTCCCTGAAAAATGTCCTCTAACCTCAAGCTTTAGAACACTCCACAAGGGTTTGTTACAACAACAACAAAAGCCCACTGCATAGTCAGAAGGTTCATATTTCATAGTCTGGTATTCAAGATTATGTGGCCTTTGAAAGGTTATCGAATAATTCAACCAAATATATGGCAATAAAGCTCTCACATTGTCTGGGGATAGATTCCCTGTTTAGGTAGTAAATGAGTTCAGAAAGTGTCATATCAAGGCCCAACATCTACCACACATTTGAAACCCACGGAAGCTATGACAATCCAACCCAGTTTGAAAATATTGTGTGTTGAATATGTAAATAGGAAGTGAAGCCAGGAGCAAAGGCTTCACTCTGATCCGAGTAAACAGTAGAGTTAGCATGCCATCGCTCTTTGGTCTACTTGAACAGTGGGGAAAATGAGACTATGTCAGTGGCCAGGCTGCCGAACAGAGTCCTTTAAAAGAGAGCACTATCAGCCAAGCCTGGCTGACCTGTATTGCCTATACTACAATAAAGAGCTGAAGTCACTATGCTGGAGTCCTGCCTCTTCATTCAACTCCAGATCTAACACTGGCGATGAAAGTGGGATCTTGAAGAGAACAAAGGACGAAGGAAGAGGACCAGGCATCCCCACGTGGCATTGGTCATAACCGAAGGAATTGAAATGCTGCATCGGCCATCAAGATGACCACACATGCCCCACCACCTCCATTTAATCCGGCCAAAGAGAACTGGGACAAATACATGTCCCGATTTCAGTGGGTTTTGGAAGCCGATGCTCTAACAGGTTTGGCAGATGTGAGGAAGAAAGCACTTTTCCTCAGTTATTGTGGACAGAAGTCATCGACATGGCTGAAGTGCTATCAGAACCAGAAACCCTAAAGATGGTTACGTGGATGGTACTACAAGATTTCCTACAAACACATTATGCACCAATACCCTTTCCCATGGTGTACAAGCATGAATTCTACCACAGGAAGCAACAGGAAGGTGAGACAATAAACCAATATGTTGCTGCCCTGCGAAAAGCCGCGGCTCACTGTGAGTTCAGCAATATAGAAGAGTCTATGATGGACAGACTCATGTTCGGGCTGAGTGATCTCCACTTACAGTGAAGACTGCTATCTATCCCTAAGCTCGATTTTAAGAAAGTCTTAGAAGAAGCCAGAGCATCTGAAGCAACCAATAAAACAGCTGCAGCAATCCAAAAGACAGAAAATCTAAAAATGCCACAAAGTGCAGCCGCTGTACACTAGGAGAGTTGGGAGACCGAAGGATTCACCAAGGAAGATGAGGAAATTCATCGCCTACAAGTTGATGGGAGATCCGGAAGCTGCCAGATATGTGACAAAAGAGGTCACACATCGCAAGAGCTTGCTGAACCGACCAACCCACCATGTTCTGCCCACACCAACCCACGAGGCAACCAGAGGGGCAACCTAGGTTCAGGAAGACACAATTCCAAAGAAATAACCACAGAGAGCCCAGAGCCACAAGCACCAGAGAATACCAACACACAACCATTGGCCACTCTAACGTGCCCAATCTAGAGAAAATCCACATCACAGTCCTCATCGAAGGATTCCCATGTAGCATGGAGGTGGACACTGGGTCATCCCTGACCATTGTATCCTGGAACACTATCAAGAAAGCAGTTCCAGAACTAGAAAAGAAACAGTTGGAACCACAGAAGTTGGTGCTTAAAGATTATTAAGGGAACCGTATCCCTGTGCTGGGGATAGGCTCTGTACAAGTCCAGTTCAAACAGTTCACAGGAAAACTTCAACTGACCATCATAGACAATGACCTGCCCAGCCTACTGAGACTACAATGGTTGAAAACTCTGGGCTTAGGAGTAACTGGCATCCACAGTCCAAGATGACACCCTACAGGATCTGATGAAGGAATTTGCAGACGTTTTCGATGGGACCTTGGACAAGTACATGGGGAAACCCATTTCTTTCAACTTAGACTCTAATGTAGCCCCCATCCGAATGAAGGCAAGGAAGGCAATGAAGACAAGGAAGGTTCCCCTTGCCCTCCGGCCCAAAGTAGACATGCAATTAGACAAGTTAATTGCCCAAGGAATTTTGGAGCTGGTAGATCACATAAACTGGGAAACCCCCATAGTCACTCCAATTAAACTAGACAGAACTATCTGCATCTGTGCTGACTACAAATGTTCCCTTAATAAAGCCTTGCAACAAAGCCCTTACCCAGAACTGGTTGTTCAGCACCTACTGCACTCCCTAGGGCAAGGCAAAATATTTGCAAAACTAAATCCAGCACAAGCCTATCAGCAATTTTGGTAAACGATGCCACCGCAGAAGCGCAAACCATTATAATGCACAGAGGGGCATTTAAATGCTGTCACTTACAATTTGGGGTGAGTGTGGCTCCAGGACTATTCCAAAGTTTAATGGAGCGCAGCCTACATGGCATTGAGAGGGTAGTATCATACTTTGATGATGTCCTCATGTCTGGGGCCAACAAAGAAGAATTAATCCAGAGGCTGAAAGAAACATTGAGATGTTTTCAGGAAGTGGGGCTTAAAGTGAAAAAAGAGAAATGCAAAATAGGAGTGCCACAAGTTGAATTCCTGGGGTATTTAATTGATGAGTCAGGCATTCACCCAACCCCAAATAAAGTGAAAGCTATCAAGGAGGCCCCAACACCAAAAAATCAAACTGAATTCCAGGCTTTTCTTGGACTCTTAAACTTCTATAGTGTTTTTTTTGCCACAGAAGGCGACCATTGCTGAACTGTTACATCAACTGCTAGGCAAGACGGCACGATGGAACTGGGGACCAAAAGAAGCTGCTGCCTTCTCTGCTGTAAAGAACCTATTATCATCCAAAAGTGTCTTAGTTCAATACCACCAGACTCTCCCCCTTTTATTAACTTGTGATGCATCCCCTTATGGAGTGGGCACTGTCCTCAGCCATCGGATCTCAAACGGAACTGAGGCTCCCATTGCTTTTTATTCTAGAACATTATCACCCACGGAAAGGAACTATGGGCAGCTAGACAAGGAAGCACTGGCTGCTGTGGCGGGAATAAAGCATTTCCATGAATGTATATATGGAAGGCATTTCGAACTGATTACAGATCACAAGCCTCTCCTGGGCATTATTGCAGGGGACCACCCAACTCCAACCTACATGTCCCCTAGAATGACTAGATGGTTAATATTCTTGGCGGCGTATAATTATACACTGATACACTGGCCTGGATTTCTGGATCCAAAGGGATCTGATAGTCCCTTTCTCCATTCTTTCTCCCAACCAGTCATACCAGCCACCTAATCTGTTGGGTAACTGGTAAACTATTAAGACAATTCTTCTTCTATGCTTTTACTGTTAAAAAACTGGGATCAAAGAAGGCATGTCCATCTGCTGCAGACCTACTGCAAATCTGACTAGACAAAATCCAATAGTTATTTGGCTAAAATAAAATAAAAAGTCACTTGACAGCGAGAAGGGTGACATCTAAATAAATAAAATGAAAAAAAATACATTTATTTCCATTTCAGCTAGTTTTATTACACCATTTGGCTGAGCAAAATTAATGGAACTGCTTAGTTTGTGAAATTCACATCTCAAATTCAACATTTGTTTAATTATTTATTTACCCTTTAATCAAATGCAACAATTTGTGGTATGGTTTTTCTGTCTTTCAAACAGATGCAAAAAGCTCTAATACAAGGCTGGAACAAGATGGGGTGGGTTGAAGAGAATTATTACTACATTTAATTTAGATTTTCCCCAGTTTGATTATTACAACTGTTGAGGTGTTATTTTTTTCCTTGTAAAATAAAGATT